ACATCGAACCTTCATGTTCCCATTCCCCATGTCTACCCTTCTCTTCCTTCCTAGATTACCCAGGAGTTCTTAACTATTTCCCCTTCCTGGGGCCCTTCATGACTGTTCCTCTTAAGAAATTCCTTTTTATCTAGCTTCTCTGGGATTGTGGCTTGTAGCCTGGTTATCCTTGGATTTACTTCTAATATTCACTTATAAGTGAATACTTACCATATTTGTCTTTCTGTGTCTGGGTTACCTCACTCAGAATGGATATTTCTAGTTCCCTCCTTTAGCCTGCAAATGGTTGCATTTTATTGCATTTTACTCCATTGTGTAAATGCCCCACATTTTCTTTATGCATTCTTAGAATTAGGGACATATAGGCTGTTTCCAGATTCTGACTATTACAAATAATGGTGCCATGAACAGAGTTAAGAAATTTTCCATGTGCTATGATTCTGGATACTCTAGGTATATTCCCAAGAGTGGAATTGCCGGGCTTTGAAGTGGATTGATCCCCAGTTTTCTGAGAAACTACCATACCAATTTCCCAAATGACTGTACAAATTTGCACTCACACCAGGACTGGAGGAGTCCCCATACTCTATATTTTCTCCAGCATGAGCTGTCATATGTGTTTTTGATATTAGCCATTCTGACAGGAGTCTGAGGGTATTTCAATGTAGTTTTGATTTGCATTTCCCTGATGGCTAAGGATGTTGGAAAATTCCTTAAACATCTTCTGGGCATTTGAAATTCCTCTGTTGAGAAATTTCTGTTTATATCTGTACACATTTTAATTGGATTATTTGGTAGTTTGATGTCTAGTTTTTTGAGTTCTCTATATATTGTGGAAATCAGACCTCTGTCAGATATGAGGTTGGTGAAGATCTTTTTCCACTCTATAGATTACCTATTTGTCTTGTTGGCCATGCCTTACAGAAGCTTTTCAATTTCAGGGGGTTCAATTTATTGATTGAGACTTTTATTGCCTGTGCTACTGGAATTTTATTTAGGAATTGGTATCCTGTGCCTATCCATTCAAGGCTACTTCCTACTTTCTCTTTTATCAGGTGCACTGTAACTGGATTTACATTGAGTCTTTCATCCACTTGGATTTAACATTTTTTACATGGGGATATATGTGGATCTATTTGCATCTTCTACATGTAAATATCCAGTATGCCAGCACCATTTGTTGAAGGAGCTTTCTTTTTTCCATTGTATAATTTTGGCTTCTTTGTCAAAAATCAGGTGTTCATAGGTATCTGGATTAATATCAGAGTATTCAATATGATTCCATTGATCCACATATCTATTTTTATGCCAATACCAGGATATTTTATGATGATCTCTCTATAATAGAGCTTGAAGTCAAGGATGATGGTGACTCCAGAAGTTCCTTTCTTGTACAGGATTATTTTAGCTTTCCTGGGTTTTTATTTTCCCCAAATAAAATTAAGTTTATTATTTCAAAGTCTATAAAGAATTGTTTTGGGATTTTGATGAGGATTGCACTGAATCTGTAGATTCTTTTTGGTAAGTTTGAATTTTTATTATTTCAATCCTACCCATCCAAGAACAAGAGAGATATTTATTTTTTCATTTTCTGACACCTTCAATTTCTTTCTTCAAAGATTTAAAGTTCCTGCTATGTTGGTCTTTAACTTGTTTTGTTAGAGATACCCCAAGATATTTTATGTGTCTTGTGGCTACTGTGAAGGGTGATGTTTCACTAATTTCTTTCTCAGCACATTTGTCATTTGTTTATAGGAGGGCTACCTACTTTTTAGTTAATCTTGTATCCTGCCACATTACTGAAGGTGTTTATCAGCTGTAGGAGTTTCCTGGTAGAATTTCTTGGGTCACTTATGTACATTTTTATATCATCTGCAATTAGTGAAAATTTGACTTCTTTATTTCCAATGTGTATCCCCTTGATCTCCTTTTGTTGTCTTACTACTCTAGCTAGAACTTCAACTACAATATTGAAGAGATATGGAAAGAGATGACAGCCTTGTCTTGTTCCTGATTTTAGAAGAATCACATTGAGTTTCTCTCCATTTAGTTTGATGCTGGCTGTTGGCTTTCTGTATATTGCCTTATTATGTTTAGGTATGTTTCTGTTATCCCTGATCTCTCCAATATCTTTATCATGAAGGGGTGTTAGATTTTTTTCAAAGGCATTTTCAGCATCTAATGAAATGATCATGTAGTTTTTATTTCAGTTTATTTATATAGTGGATTACATTTACAGATTTTCATAGGTTGAACCATCTCTGCATCTCTGGGATGAAGCCTACCTGACCATGGTGAATGTTGTTTCCTGTGTTCTTGGATTTGGTTTACCAGTATTTTATTAAGTATTTTTGCATTAATGTTCATGAGGAATATTAATCTGTAATTATTTTTCTTAATTCTGTTTCTGTGTGGTTTGTGTATCAGGGTAACTGTAGCCTCATAAAAAACATATGGCAATTACATGAGAAAATAATCTACTTTCAATAAAGTACAAAAGTTCATTCCCCAAAATGATTAATCTCATTGGCATCATATTTAACAGATTAACTTTGCTTTTAGTAAAGTAACATTATTAATATTAGAAGTGAAATCTGAAACCTTGCTGTCCATTTTTCAGATTATTGAAATTTCTATGACTACTCAATAGTGATTGGGATAATTGTAGAGTGACTTACATGAAACAGACAAATATATAGAAGTCCAGAACCTACTGAGATGGAAGCAAGAAGAAACACAAAACTGATTCCATGAGTAACTCATAAAACTGAATCAATCAAAGACATTTGACAAAAGTGAAAAACTTTTAATGATGAACACAGACAAACTAGGGGTAGAAGAGAAGCCAATGCATTATGTGCACACATGAAAAATACTTCCAACTCAGTACTCAGTGGATAGATTTCTATGCAATTATGTTGTAGTGACCACTTTTCTTCAGTATTCTCTTAAATGTCCTAGACAGACTAATTAAACAACACATAAATAAATGTTGGTTAATTAATTGGTGGTAAAATAGATCTGCAGATGATGTGAAGTGAATTTATTTTTTGAAAATCCTAAAGATTCTACATAAGTTTCTTGAACTAGTGAACAAATACAACCATCTGAGTTCTACTACTCTAAACTAATATTGTATACAATTAGAAGTCTTGTTTTGTTGATGCATAGAGAAGTGAAATAACAAGGAAGACTCAAGTGGAATCAATGTATCTCCCTGGAAAGAAAAAATAGAAACGATTTTGTGAACAGATGGGGGTAGGTGGGGATGGGAACAGGAGGAAACAGGCAGGGGAAATGGGACAGGCGGGGGGAATACTTGGAGTAATGACTGTAATAGTGGGGCATTTGGGGGAACAGTGTGAAACCTACTAGATGAAATCTTCCTAGAATCTACAAGAGTAACCCTAGTAAAGATGTCTAGTAGTGAGGGACAGGTAGCCTGAACCATCAGTCATGTACAACCACAGAAGACTTCTAGCAGCAGGGCTAGGACAACAATGCAACCACAAAACATTTGACCTACAATTTGTGGTTCCTGAAATATGCCCTGGGATAAAGGTAGAACAGAGCTTATAGTAGTAGCCAATCAATAACTGGTTCAAATTAAAGTCCATGCCGTGAGAGGGAGCTCTAAACTGACACTGCCTAGATGGCCAGGAGCCAGAAGCTGGACATCCCAGAAATTCAATATATACCCAAATGTAACTAGAAAAATATTTCAATTAAATATTTATTAATAATATTCTGTTATACTAGTAGATAATTGCACAGACTAATAGTCACCAGAGAGGCATCATTCAATCAATATGGGAACAGATACAGAGATATACAACCAAACACTTGGGACCACCAGGGGAATCCCACAGAATAAGGGGAGAATGGATTGTAGGAATCAGAGGGGTCAAGGACACAATGAAAATATGGAACACAGAAATAATTAAGCAGGGCTTATAGGGGATCACAGAGACTGGAATGATAATCAGGGATGCTGTATGGGTTTGGACTAAGGCCTCTACATATAAGTTATGGTAATATAGATGGGAATTTTTGTGAAACTCCTAAAGTGAAAGTGAGGGCCATCTCTGACTCTTTTGCCTGCACTTTGGACCCTTTGCTTCCTACTGGGTTGCCTCTTCCAGCTCTGATATGAGCGATTATATCTAGTCAAATATAACTTGCTATGCCATGTTCTATAGATATCCCTAGGAAGCTTGATCATTTTTTGAAGGTAAATGGAGGAGGTGAATGGATGTAGGATGGGGGAAGTGGGAGCTTATGGGAGATTGCAGAGAGGGGAATCTGTAGTCTTCATGTACTATATAAGAGTATAATAAAAAGAAAGAAATACACTTTAACAGGAAACCACTCATGTGCAAGGCCCCTTTGTGAATGCTCTTTTCAGTAAAAAAAACAGTGAGTCTGCCCTTATGTTAAAGATATTACATCTGTTCATAAAAAACATGGTTGAAATCTATTTCGAAACCAGCATTGTCCACCATGAAGCATGAATAGATCCTTCTCATGTCACACTTCTTCACTTCACATGGATGGCAGGTGCACAGGTAGCATTGTACTAAGGTGAATTAGTTAAACAGGGAAAGTATTTGAGCTTATGAGAGGATGTTTTCTCTATGCAAACAATGCACCATTTCCACATCAGACTCAGAACATCCAAAAGTTTGAGGGCTCTCGAAATTAGTTCCCATGAACTATGAAGGGTTGCTATGTATTTGAACCACAACCAAATTTCATAAAGCCTTTGAATTTTTGTTTAACATATTGGTGTCTTTAATTTCTTTTTCAATAACCTCACTTAAAATCCTGCCCTTTCCTTGTACACACATGTATCCTGGGATTATAGGCATGAGTCACCATGCTGGCTGTAATTGAGTAGCAACTGATCATTTTTACCACATAACTTTTCTCCATTTTGTACCCCAATTGACAAAGAAATGCCAGCAATCTACTGTGGTATGAGAGAAGAGGTTACTCCACGATCATGGCCAGGACACTGGGAGACTGGTCTTCAAACTGATTTGGTTGGAGACCTCACACTGATACTCTCCGGCATCCTCACTCCTGACAGGAGTTATCATGAGTCCACACTTTGTCGGGGACAGAGTCATCCTCTCTAAGTGATGCAGACTCTGGTTATTGAAGATCCAGCGGATAGAGATATCAGTGTCAGGTGACACACAGGTGAAGATCACAGATCTATGTCCTGCGACCATGGTATCAGTGATTTGCACAAAGGGCTGTGCCACAGGCTCTGTGAAGAAACAGAGGAGGATGTCAAATTAAAGGACTCCAGAGTGTCCAACCACATCTTCTTTAGGTCCTACTTTATAAAGCTCCCAGGGGGAGTAATTTGGAGCTGTGACTATAGACATATCTTGTGCCTTGTATTTGCCACACAGGGCCTGTGTGACCCTGGTTTAGGAACTGTTTTCTGTGTCTCAGTTTCCTTGTAATAGGATATGCAGTGCATGATCATTGCTGTAAACCATGAGTTAAGCTTAGTTATGAGCAATGATCTTACTTGGGGTACAGGTTCTCTTCTCATCAGCAGCATCTGTTACTATTTACCTGCAGAAGAGAATTTCCTAGCCTGGGCCCCTGAGGTTAAGGAGGAATCTGGAGTAGTTGCCTCCTCTGTTTCTTCCCTTGGAGCTTTGACCTTCCTGTGAAGTCTCATACGCCATCAGAAAAATATGCTAATGACTTGGACAAGGAAATGTACAGGTGACATACCTAACTGTAGCTGTCATGGCAGTACACAGCTAATTCTACACTCTATGTGATAGTCAGTCCCATGACTTGGACAGGCATAAACCCTTGTTCCCTGTCAGCTCTAACAGCAAATCTAAACAAATCTTTACCAAAAAAAAGCTCCTCAATGTCACCTTGTGTTCAATCAGGGGCAAAGATTTGAAGTCAGGAATTCCTGGGGGTCTTTGTGAGATCCCCACAGTTTAATAAGCCAGGGGATGCCTGACACCCACATAGTCTTTTGGGGGCATGTGTGTGGTGAGAGCTCCACGTGTCTGGGATACATCTTACATCCTGGAGCTGAGTTTACCCAACACAAGTCCTGCGCTTTGCAGGTAAAGACAGGTGAATGGTTCTGATATATTATATTTTCTACCCCTTGTGGATCCTGCAGTAAGGACACAACCCCCAGTGGAGGGTCACAGTGGTGAGGGAGAGAGCATGAACAGTCCAATACAGATATTTCAGTGTATAAAGTAGGATAAACCACACCCAGCAGTTGGAGACCATAGAAAATCACTTACTCTTTACATTAACTTTTACATATGCTTTTTCAATTGTAGAATCCTTGTTTTGAACTGCTAATGTATAGATGCCTGCATCTTTCTCAGTGAGGTTTTTGAGCAATAAGGATCCATTGTTGTACACCATATCAAAATCTCTGTATTTAGACCCCCAGATGATGGTGTCTATGTCTCGCCTGTATTCTGCAACTTTAAGGACCCGGATCCTATACTTTGATTTGTACCAGGTAAAGGCTTGCAGGTCTTCTGGAAGATTATGAACTTGGAGAAGTACACTTTCCCCTTCAGCAGCATACCGAGGCACAGGTTGGATCATAAATTGGGAAGAAGTGAGAGGTTTACAGAACCGAGAAAGGGAAGCTGGGAGGAAAACAAGAAAAAAAGCCATCACATGAGGATCATTGTTCTTGGTGAAAAGATGTTGACCTCCATCCTGAGCAAATCGATTCATCACTCAGCCTACAGTCGCAGGTGTGTATGTACATCCCACTTAATGAATGGCAGAAACATGACCTCCTTTCCAACAGTGTCCCTGAAAGTGTCATGTCCACTGCAGGGATCTGTCCCCTTGGGTGTCTGCATGACTGCTCCCTCACTGACCTCAGTCAGACACTGCACACACTCATACACACTGATGTTTGAGGTGATGTCTCCCCTGAATTCAACAGGCCTGTAACTTTCACTTTCAAGGTTTTTTCTTCAGTTTCCTTTGATGCTATACTCAAGTCCTGACTTCACCTAATAGATGTACTTGCTATTCTTTCAGGTAACCCTTTGGTCTGGGGCTGTCTGAGGACTGGGAACAGTCTGATCTTCAAGGCAGGCTCAGGCCTTTAAATGGCTTGGGGTACTATTCTGGCTGTTTCTCTATCAACTTGACATAAGCCACAGTTATTTTGCAAGACCATGCCTCACTTGAAATGCCATCACCAGTTTGAACTGTGGGCAAAATTATAATACATATTTTTAAATTTAGGATCAATGCAAAATGATTCAGAGCGAGGCAGGCAGTTTACCACTGGACTAGGAGGCCCGGGTGATATAAGAGAGCTGGTTGAGCAAACATGAAGAGCAAGCCAATAGGAAGTACTCCTCTATGGTTTCTCTATCACTTTCTGGATTTTATTAACACACTCTCAATTTAGAGATAATAAATACCCCAGTCTTACATGGATGTTCTAAAACTATTGTTCCCTCTCAGCTTTGAGAGAATGTAAGAGTAGAACACTAGAAAAAATGCTCCCCTGGGTCACTTTACTCCAGCCTTGGAAAGAATGCAGGATTCAATGATCCCTAGTCTATAGCCCCAAGGGACTTGGCTGACTCTGACATCTTGGGCTGAGTTACTTTCCATCAAGGTCTTCCTTGATGCAGATGGAGTCACAAGGTGGAAGCTGCTCTATGGCCATCTGTCTCTACCAGTGTGTCCCACACTAAGTGCTCAGACCTCCACCTGGGGACACAGTGCAGAGGGAAAGGAGTCTAGGCCAGTTACGACAGTCCTGTGTGTCTCTAACCCACCCAGCACTGAACAACCACGGAGAATCACTTACTGTCCACCTGGAGCTGCACTTTTGCTTCTTCACGTTTCGTATCTGTTCTCACAATTTGTAGAGTGTACAATCCAGAGTCTTTCTGAGTAACACCATGCAGCAGCAGGGATCCATCACTGTACAACGTCTCTCTGCCACTGTATGCGGGACCCCACAGAGTTGATTTTCTGTCTATTATGTATCGGGCAAGCTCCAGTTTCTTTAAAGCAGTCATCCATTTGAACCAGACAAAGCCTACAATATTCTCTGGGGGATTGTGAACGCGTAGAAAAACACTTCCCCCTTCAGAAACACAGGGGGACACTGATTCAATGCTGGGCTGGGTAGAGGTGTCATGGCGCCCACAAGTCCAAAATACAGCTAAAAGGGAAGAGAGAGATCCATGTAAATTGGAACCTTTGCTTTTGATAAGATGAGGCCCTGTGTCCACTGCTCACCCTCGGTGTATGAGTGTCTCCCTGTTCTACTAGGTGGAGGTAAACACATGGCCTCCCTGTTCTCAGTGTAGGAACACTTGCCATTCCCACTCTGTTGTGCTCTCTGCAGTTGACAACATGGCCCTGTCTTACTGCCATCAGACCCCTGCTCATATTTGCAATGGGTTGGAGACCCTGCATCTTCACTCTGTAAGTTTTCCTATCACGGTTGTTCTGTTCCTTCAATCAACACCTGACTTCACCTTATAGATTGCTTTTTTTTCAAGTCCACTAATACTGGAGCATCTTAGAAAAAAATTGATTTGTCTTATTTAAAAAATTACTGCCTAAAAGAATGGGCTGGCAAAACCAGCAGAGACAGCTGATCCGAACAGGGGAGAGCTCTTGGACCCCAGACCGACAGCTGGGAGGCCAGCATGGGACCGATCCAGACCCCCTGAATGTGAGAGTCAATGAGGAGGCCTGGGATACCCATGGGGTCCTGAGTAGTGGATCAGTGTTTATCCCTGGAATACTAACAGACATCGTGTGTCCACAACACAAAGAGGGTTGCTCTCTCTGCCTGGACTCTTAGGGAAGTGCTTGGACCCTACCCTGAAAGAAATGATAGACTCTAGATATCCCCTATGCGGAAGGAATTGGCAATAGGGTGGGAGGATGGGGGATGACTGGGGGGGCAGGGGGAGGGGTGTGGAAGGAGGGGAGGGAGAGGGAACTGGGATTGACATGTAAAACAAGCTATTTAAAATTTAAAGAAAACGAAAGAAAAAAATTACTGCCCAGAAAACCTTGAATACATTTCCTTCGACTTTTTATACTTGTTCACATATTATATTTGCATGTCAGTTTGCATAGACTAGTCTCACTGTGGATGGGTGAGTGCAGGACACAATACTTGAGTGGAGGTCAGAGGACAACTTGGTTCATTGGCCTCAGCTTGTCAGGAAAAGAAGCAGCATCTATATCGATTGACTTATGTTACTGATCCACACCAGCTTGATTTTTCATAAGGTCAAGCTGAGAATATCAGTCTTCAGAATGTCATGGCAATGTTTATTAATTTTGTATTAGAACACTGTCTCTCCCACCCTTGCCTTTTAATGTTCTCCCTTATAGTTTAATGTTAATATTGCTGAGCCTCTGGACTGCCCTGTCAACTCCCTTACAAACAATGAAACTCTTCATATGTTCTTGAACCACTTAGGAGACTCCAGGTAGTAGGTCAGTCCACTCCTATGACACACAGTCGTTTTGTGGTGTCTTTGTCTATGAGAGATAATGCATCCTTTACAGACAGGTACAGGGAGTGCCTCCAATGTCTCTGTAGCCTAATCTGTCTTCTTTCTGTTGTGTATCTGCTCCAGAACAGCTCACAAGTTATGCTTTTCTTCCCCCATCTGAGTTGAGCCTCCTCCAGGAAGGAAGACCTGTGACAATGTCATGGACTGAAGGTTGGTCTGTGTTCAAAACACTGCTCAGTCCGTTTCACTCTCAATGCTGCCCAGTGTCCCTGCCATTCTCTCCTTATGTTTCTGTGCTCTAGAACACACAGAGGGAGTCAAGGATAATGACCATCTCTGTGACATGAGAGAATAACCGCTCCCCCTGGTACTGCGCTCTGCAGTGTTCTGGCCTTGGTCACTAAGCACCAAAAAAAAAAAAAGAGTCCACAACTCTGTGACACAGAAACCCAGCTAGGCACCCAATCTTCTTTGTGTTCTCAGTGTTCTGCAAACAAGGAATTTGCTCTAGGCAAGAGGGTAACAGATATCTGGGAGGTTCCAAAGGGACCATCTGAGTGATGTGTGGGGAAGAGAATAAATATATTCTCAATGGAGCTGACAATCAAGGTTCTGACCAATCCTGTTAAAGGCCCAGGATGTGTCAGGAGCCTCACCCAGGAGTCTCCTGGATGTGTATGAGGAGGTGATTAATTCCTGGAAAAAAGGCTGTGAGCTCCTTTGTCCCAGGCAAGATTTCAAGGCCATGCTCCCACTTCCTCTGTTTGCTGAGCTGAGTAACGGGTCTCTCATGTCCTCTATGGTTTTTCTGAGATAACTTGGACCTCTTTCTTAATTGATTCCCCTTGAATATTGTATATTTCCCAAATGAAACACATAAAGGAAGAAATGAAAAATGATCCCCCAGCAGTGTGACAGACACACTAAGAAGCCAGTAGATCTGAGGATTCTGTGCCCATGATTTCCAGATCTGAAAATACTGGGTGGGGAACCAGGCTGCTTGATAAGGTCCCGATTCAGGCAAATTCTTTTCCGTGAGTATATTGTGTGTCCTGATGCCATCCCTGGTGATCACTAGAGGAACTGAAGTTTGTATCTGGGGAGCTATCAGATCAGCATAGCCTGCATCCATTTCTATGCAGGAGAGAATTTCCTGAGCTGGGTCACAGAGGACACTTGGCAGAAAGACCTATGTCCTCTCTCCCTGTACTGGCTTTCCCAGACTTTCCTGTGAAGTTTCATAAGCCTGTCAGAACATTCAGGTAATGGCTTGGGCACCTGCTTTCCCTGTTCAGTCTCTGGAAATGATGCTGAAGGAACCTAGACTAACCATATAGCTCATGACAGTGGTTCCAAAGGTGCAGGACTTGGGCTACTAAAAAGCATTGTTCCCTGCCATTAGGAAGTCAAAATCAAACCTTTGTGAAATGCTTCTAAGGGCTACCTGGTTGAGTGTGGAACAGAAGTCCGCAGCCAGGGCATTTTGGTTCTCAAAACCCTGTGAGGACCTCAAGTTTTCCTCCATCAGGTCCAATGTTGATTCCCTCTGGGTCTTTCTTAAGGAAGCCTTCCAGTGAGAGCCCCCAAAGTCTAGACAGAGGCTGTTATTCTAGGCTGAGTTACTAAGCATCTGTCCAACTGTCTGTAAAATGACTTCAAATGAAGGAATTGATCTATTGCAATTACTCTAACAGCATGTGTGTCCTGCACTGAATACACAAACCCCACAATGGGGATGCAATGCACAGAGGAGGAAGTTACGGTCATCATATTGTGTGTGTTCAATGACATGAACCCCACCCAGAACCCGGAATTCACAAAGAATCACTTACTGTGCACATGAAGGTAAATGGTTGTTGTTGACTCAATCATTGCACGTCTACTGAAGGCTCTTAGGGTATAGAATCCTGTGTCCTTCTTTGTCACATTTCTGAGCAGCAGGGTTCCATTGCTGTACACTGATTCTCTACCACTATTTGCAATTCCTGGCACACATAAGTTTTTATTCCGCTTATATGTTCCAATTCCAAGGTTCATAGTGTTCACCCCTTTGGCCCAAGCTAATTCTAGAACATTGTCTGGCAGATTGTGGACAAGGAAAAGGACATTATCTCCTTCTACCACATGGGGTGGGACAGATTCAATGGTGACATGGGCTGTGGTAGAGAGGTGCCAACAGATTAAAAGGGAAACTAGAAGAGAACGGAGAAAAGAAACCATCAATGTTGGGGAGATGTGGTCATCACTCTGCTTATATGTGGAGGTACAAATGTGTCCACCCTCCTTGGTAGACATGAGCAACATGACTTCCATTCCCTCACAACTTCTGACTGCATCATTAATTCTGTTAGGAATTCTGTACTCAGGAATCTGGCTGGCTCCCCCCTCAGTGTCCCATACAAAGCCTCTCTGAACTCCTTATCTGCAGAGTACTCAATTTCTGACTTTTATCTCTATCTTCTTTATAATTCCAATCAAACCACGACTTCATCTTGCAGATGCACTGATGTCAGGTACACAAGAGCCAGCACATGATGAAGACAGGGATTAGTGTGACCGATTTGGAAAATAAAGTTCCTGGACACAGATAGATAAAGAGAGAGAAAGGAAGGAATAAGGAAGGAAGGAAGGAAGGAAGGAAGGGAGGGAGGGAGGAAGGAATAAAGGAAGGAAAGAAGCAAAGAAGGAAAGAGGGAAAGAAGGATGAATGTGCCCCAATGGGATTAACCACATAGTACCCAGGTTTGGAGTTAATGACAATAATTATATTCAAGTGTGATTTAAATTATTTTAGATTTATTCATGTATTTTATGTGTGTATTTCTGAAACCAACTATCTCCATGCACCCATGTGAAAGTGTACGACACAAAACTTTGTGGAAGCACATGTTTCACTATGCCTCAATGTGCATGAGTGCCAATACCAATTGTGGATGGCACATAACAGCCTGCAGGAGACTATTTCCCCATCCACAATGAGGGAGCTGAGGATTAAAATCAGGTTGTTATGTCTCCACACACTGAGCCATCTCTTTGGCCCACCCTATTTGATTTCCATTTGGAGAATCACACTAACATAGTAGGGGATGTTATGCTTCAGAACATGGCAGCCAGTATAACTGACTGTGTATATTAAGTGATTGAGGCTTTTCTATTCCTTTCATCACCTCCCATACATTGAGAGCTTCAGGAGGCTGAGACACTGTCCCTCACTTTACCTAATGCCCAATGACTACAAATAAAACCCATCAGGCTCCTGTCCTCTTTAGGAAACCCCAGCCTGTCTCCAAGTACCCCTCCAACCTCATAGTGAGAGAGTGAGCACACTTACCTGTGAACAGAAGCCCTTGCCAAGAAGTGCACCCATTGCAGAGAGGCACAGAGGACATTGCCATCTCTATTCTCACCTCACTGTCCCCCACTTTAGGAGAACAAATTCAGCTCTACAAAGGTGCTCAGCCCCTGCTGTTTTCTTTCCTATGAGCTGAGTTTCCTTTCAGGCAGGAGCATGTCCCAGAATCCAGTGGGTTGTTGGTGGTGGGATCTGTGTCCAAGACACAGCTCAATCGTTTCAACCCTTAGTGCTGTCCAACACTCATTTCAACTCCCCTTTATGTTTCTCATCCAAGCAGCACATTGAATAACAAGGACGATAAGCATCTTCATGCCCTAGAGAACAGTGGCTCATCCCAGGGCTGACATCTGCTGTGTCTTGCCTTAGGTCAGTCAGCACCAGAGGGAGCCTTCAAAAAGCCTATGTGTCCTTGTGACACAGAGATCCAGGTGAGCACCCTGCCTGTCCTGTGTTCTCAATGGGTACTTTTGTACTTCACTGAGGAAAGTGACAGAGATATCTCTGAAGGCTGGAAAGAGACGAGCTGAGTGATGACTAGGAATGAAAATCAATGATTTATAACTAATGTAACCACCAGTCAAAGTTCTGTCCTAGGAGAGAGCCTCAGGAGCAATTGCATGAGGAGTTTCATATTCTTAGTGTTGTCCTTGAAAGGACTTTGGGCTCTATCTTACTATGGAGGTTTTCAGGTCAACATTCTAGAATTATATGTTACCTACCTGTGTTAGGAGAACCCATGTCCTTTCTGATATCCTTGTCATCTTTGCCCTTTGTCTAGTTGGTTCTCTGGTGGTAATTTTGTCTTCCTCATTAAGAGACACCATAAGAGACGGGACCTTAGGTTTCCCCCATGCAGAAAGTTCTTCTCAGTAAAATGAATGGTCAGTAGGTCTGAGTAGAGCCTAGGTAAGGACATCCAGTTATTAGGGACAAGGATGGAACAAGTCTACTAGGAAAGGTTATGCCTGGCTCAGGAAAAACACTTTTCTGACAGGGAATGTGTGTCCTGATATCAACCCATGTGTTTAACTGGGGGAACTGCAATTTAATGTCCAGGGCTACATCATGCATGGTCCAAAAGTCAAAAGTGACCTGCTCTGAAACCCTGAAAACAAATGATATGCAGAGTATGTCATCCTGTTCATAGGGTCTTCCTGAATTCCAAATACCACCTAGTATAGAGTGGGTCTAGATAATTTTTGAGAATTTTCCTGAAATACCAGTTACATTTTTAGATTTTACATTTTCATTCACCAATGAATCTATTTCTTCTATCATTTTAGCAATCCCTGAGATTCTGTCTTCCATCTCTTCTACTCTGTTGGTGAAGCTTACATGTATAGACCCTGTTTCCTTACTCAGATTTTCCTTTACCAGAATTCCCTCAATTCATGTTTTCTTTATTGCTTCTATGTTAATTTTCAGTAGTGAATATTTTACTTCACATGATTGTTTATTTTCTCTTGACTTCCTTGGCATTCATTAAGGAAATTTATATTGCCTACAGTTATGAATGTTTTCCCTCAGTTTATTTAAATGCATATTTCCAATTAGGGTATCTATTACTTTCTTAAAGTTGGTTTTAAACTCATTTTCTTCTGCTTTAGCATCATTGGAGTATTCTGGTCTTCATATCATATGATGGCTGTACTTGACGGAGCTGTATTGCCCTGATTGTTGTGAATTGTGTATCTACACTGATTTAGGCATCTAGGTTTGGCATGTATATGTCCAGAACATTATTTCTAAGTATATCTTTGTAGGACTGGTGTTTTGTTCCTTGGCTTCTGTTTCATATTGGTCTGCTAGTCTTTGAAGTCTGGATTTCTGGTGGTCAGCAGGACCTTTCCTATAGTATGGGGCCTCTGTCTAAATGTGGGTCATGGGTGGTTAACTTGGTGTTTAGTTTAGCAGAGGGTTTGCGTTCTTCAGAATTTTATGGCCTGTATCTGTCATTTGAGTGGGGCGGCCTGTGTCTGGGCAGCAGAAATCTTCCAGGATTGAGGACATGAGAAGACAGCATGGTGGGTGATGAACTAATACAGCTTAGGCTGTGGGATAAGACTTTGGGAACAGACACTAGGGAGTGGGGCATTTCAGTAGGTAAGTAATCACTCACTTGTTCATCTGACTGTGGTGGCCTACTAAGGACTCTAATTCTCCTGGTGGCTTTAGGCTGTGTCAGAGTGATATGTAAGGCTAAGTAAGAAATTGTTCAAACTGTTACATCTTACTCCTTCACTGGGAGAATGCATAGTACGTTCCCCACAATCCAAGTGAGTGTTTGACCCTGTTTGCCATGGTCATCAAAAGCTTGAATGCCAACTCAAAGCCAAGGTGCAAGCTCAACAACATCTTCCAAGAATGTTACCTGTCCCATTTCCCAGGTACTGAGTGCAGGGACACTGTGATCCTCACCACAGACATTGTGAAGAGTTAAAAAAACAGCACCATCAAGTCAAAAGTTTCATCATGACTCAGACTTCTCAGGCAAGTTCATCACCTGCCTCTTTTGGCTCCATTGGAATCAGACCAGAAGTCATTCAACAGCTGAGACAAGACAGGGGATGTGAGCATTTGGGGTAAAGGAACATGGGCATGGTTCAAAGTTTTGAGTAATATTTCTAGGTCATGGCAATGATGGAAGCAATCATGAATGAAAACACGTGTTGATTATAGGAAAATTTACTTGACTATAAAGTCAAGGAGACTAAAGAAGCTAATGTCTGACTGCCTAGGAAGTTTCTCTGCCCCCTGGCAGAACTACCCTCTTCATATTCTAAGACAACCCAAGGTAATACAAAAGAAATCTGAAATTCCAGAAAGGAGGAAGAATCATAACTGGAATCTCACGCGAGGATTGGGATATGCTTGTGCCCATGACATAGGCTTGTAATTAATTTCTGCCTCTATCCCTAAAACCAAGACTGTACCCAAAGCTCAATGATGTCATTTCATTGGATCTTCTCCCCAAAGCCTGTAATTTTTTTCACTTTGTTTCTGTGACATGAATGGCCAAGTGCTGGACAAAATATAGGATCTACAGCTATTTGTCATCATATTGGGGATAAACTACTCTTGGCAGGATATTTGATGCTCTCCATTGATAAGACAAGATGACTACTGGTGAGGTGTGTGAAAGGCAGTATGGCAGGATCTGTAAAGAGAAGCTGTTTCTTTGAGAGGAGCCTTCCCGCCAGCCTGGTTCTAGAGCCGCATCAGTCCCAAATATACACACAGGAGGCTATATTCATTATGAAGCTGTTGGCCTTGCTTGTTTCTTACTAGCTAGCTCTGACATAAGTAATTACCCCATAATTGTTTTTTTAATTTTTTATTTATTTTTCTGTTTAAATTTACATAAGAAACAAGGTTGCTGCACAAGTCAGTTTCAGGTCCCTCTCCCTTTCCCTCCCCTCCTCCCGTGCCCTCCCCCCCACCCCCCACCCCCGTTATCCCCTCATTCCCCCAGGGAGGGTGAGGCCCTCCATGGTTACCCTATAATTGTTAATCTATGTATGTCTCTTACCGGAGAATAGTTCCGGGCTTCCTACCCCATGGCGGCTACATATCGAACTCTCTGTCTTTCTCCTTCCCAGAATCCTCCTGGACTCCTAGTCCCACCTATCTAGATTCCTATTGGCTCAACAGTGCTTTATTAACAAATGTACAGGACTTCCCCCATCAAGGAGAGGTTGAAGATCGACACTGGATGCGTATGAATATCTGTGATTGATATGATCAGATCATCTGAAGCATTTGAGCACACAAAATAAATCACATGTGAAATCAGCAAAGGGAAGGAGAAATCCTCATTGGTTGCAGAGTATATTAGCTGTGCCATGATCTCAGTTAAGCAGGTCACAACCAGAGCAGCATGCAGTTTAGTAAAAGTGTGTTCATGTAAAATACACAAGCTTTGATACATCTTCATCACAACATAAAAAACAGCACCCCTATACACATATATGTGCACTGAGTCTGAGCCTAATATATCCCCTGCCTCCATGAACCTCAGTCTACCTAGGCAGAAATTCCTCAAGGCCCTTAGCCACCCTAGTGTCTGTTTGATAAGTCTCTGTTGTGAACTCAATAGAAACAAGTGTCCTGGCTATAGCCATCTACATTTAGACCCTTGTAACCAAAGTTAAACAAATGTTCCTCACAGGAAATATTCAGATTGTATGGGTCTCTTTGAATGGCACTCATTCATTTACAGGTTTCACATTCAGAGTGTCCTACATCAATCATGACATTCAATAAATTGAGAGTTCATTTCCCTTTGACAGATTAGCCTGTTGCCTTCTGAGAAGCTTTGAATACTTTTCCTCTACAGATAGAATGTATGCTGACCCTCATATTCATGCTATCCAGTTATCATTCTTGCTAACATCATATCATGAGGTTAGAAGTGTTACTTGTGATGGTGACTTGGGTAGAAGTACTTGTGCACAGAATAGAAAGAAGATGGTTCCCTGTAGTACCTCTGACCCCTGCAAAGGCATCTTTCAAACTGTTTTGGCCCTTCTAGCATCCACACACAATCCATGTCCTTAGAGAACAAGACATAAAATGACTCACAGGCAGATTCAGGAGGTCCTGAGTACTCAGGGATAGCGGGCCACCTGTGATGTATGGGAGAAACAGTCTTTGCCATGAAGGATCTGAACTACAAATCTTGATGATACAGACCTAGAATCTGGAGTCATATGATCATTGTCTCTCCTGAATCTCATTGACCCTTGGCACATCTTGCACCAATGAGTGCTGTCTCCTTCCTGCTACACTGTTTTCCACTGCTGAGCCTGAATCAGTATCCTCCAGGGCATTGATATTGAAAGAAGCCCTACTGATTGAGCAGAATAACACTACCCACTGAGCTCCCCTGAGAAGTACCCTCAGACTATCCTCATAATTTAATGAGTGTTTAGACATCTCACACATGAGACAAGGGTCCTCATTGATGTAAATAATCATGAAGAACCATAGCTTGGGAAAATCTTCCCAGGTATATGATGATAACCACGATGATGCACAGAT